AATAGCAGAGGCCCCCTCAGCCACAGAGTCACAGGGATGTGAAGATAGTGTCTCAGACCCAGTCAAGGTTCATCCATTCCTTCACCCTGTGAGGCTGGAGGGTGAGCTTGGACACATCCACTCAGCAAATGTGAGCATGGTCACTGTCACCACTGCATCATCATCATCAACCTAGCAAGGTGGACCCTGCACTTTCTAGGCTGATCCTGTTTCCATTTTTGAAGCAGTGGGGATGAAGTTGCAGAATGAAGATGTAGACCCACAGGAACAGTGGCCACCCAACGGTCATTCAAGAGACTCCAAGGAAGGTGTTGGAGGAATGCTCCTCAGAGGTCTGTATGTTTCAGGCTTGGTCCCTATGGTGGTACCTGTGGGAGGTGGTGGACCTTGAGCAGGTGGAATCTACCAAGGTGCTCAGGTCACTGGGACCCTGCCCTCTTCCTCTCTAGCTTCTTGGCCATGCACTTTCCACTGGAACTTCCAAAACTCTGAGCCAAAATAAATCTTTTCTCTTTATAAATTAATTATCTTGGGTATTTTTTTATAGTAACAGAAAGCTAACATCAGATAAGCACATACTGAGAACACAGAAAAGGTAGTGACCTGAACAAGCTGAGAATGGAGAGCTGAGTGGTGAAGGGGCTCAGCTGGGTGTTGCTCAGGCCCCCAACTCCCATCAGGACAGCTTTCCCCATGACATGGAGATGCCTGGCCATCATTGCCTAAGGAGCCCCTGACCCAGCTGACCTTGGACAATCTCCAAAGTTCTTTCCTCATAATCTTTCAAAATGTCCAGGGAGGACATCCAAAAGTGATTTCCCAACCACTCCTTGGTCAGAGATGTGCAGAGCCTCCTGAAACTGTCAGCTTCCTGGATAGCATAGTGGCCATCCAGAACAGGGTGACAATCCCCTAAGAGCCCACTGCCCAAAAGTTGGGGACAGCCAAGGAGCCTGTGGACCAAACAGCCCACAGCAAGGCCTATTTCCCACTAATTCCACCTCTCATGGGCAGCTCCCCAGCAATTTTAGACCTAGAAAGGTGCTAATTGCAGCCAGCTACAGGAGAGGGCAGCCCCTCCCCAAGGGGCTCCTATTCTGGGATGATTTTCATCTTTACAACTAACCCATCAGCTCAATGAAAGCCCATGCAGGTATACCCATGTGTGCATCAGTGCATGTATGTTTGTGTGTACGCTTGGGTATACCTGCGTGTTGCCTTGTGCATGACTGGGCACCTGTTTGTCATGTGACTGTGTGAGCTCATGCCCACGTGCACACACCAATGTGCTCATGTGTGTACCTGTGCATTTCTATGTGTGTAAATATGGACATCCCTGGACAGTGTGACAACCCCCTCAGAGCCCACATGTCCAAAGGTTAGAAATACCCCACGAGCCTGTTGGCCAAACAGCCCAACAAAAGGCCTGTCTCAAGTCTACCCAAGCTGTCAGTGTATGGTGCAGAGGAAGCTCCAGGGCAGGAAAGAACCCCTCCCCCAGTCCTCTGGACTCTCAGGCCACCTGGTGCCCCTCCTGCCCAGAAGCCTTTGTCCACACTGATATTCTCACCAGAAGGCTCTTCTCAGACTTCACTGCCCCTTTTGGAGCCTGACTTGTCTTAGCCTGCCTCCCTTCTCTGGGAGGCTTCCTTGATCACAGACTGGCATTACTGGGTTATGAACTTTCTCTAGCCCCACTCTCTAAGGCTGCCCACCCAGCCTCCAAGAGTGGTGTTAGCCAGAGAAGCCATGTCAGGATCGGCCTTGGTCTGGCAATGATGGTGACTGGCCTCCCTTTCCGACACTCTACCCCTCCAGGACGAGCAGAGCCTCCTCCACTCAAGGCAGCACCCCTTCCCAGCCAGCGGGCAGCCGCCCAGTGGGAAGACAGTGCTGTGGACAGAGCAGACTGGGGGGGCCCACTCCCGACTTCAGCTGCTACCCACACCATCCTGGAGTCAAGGCATACCTAAGAGGAACAGCCAGAAAGGGCACTTGGCCTGCTGGGCTGCCCTCAGGTTTACTGCCTTCCCCTGCCTCCAGTGTCCCCAGCCCCTGTGGGGCCCAGGCCCCGAGCATCAGAAACTCCGCCCAAAGGCTGGGCCACTCACCTTGGCTCTGAGAGATGGGGACAGATGCAGGGTCTGTTTGGGGCAGGGCTGTGGAAGGGGGAAGGACTAGTCCCAGGGTCAGCTTGAGGGCTCTAGGGCTGTCCTGCAGGACCTCCCCATCTCCACCCTGCCTCAGGCCTCCTCACATGCTACAGATCCTGCCTGGATCCCAAGCCCTGGCCCACTCACAACTCTGGACACAGATGCCCATTGAATTCCCAGTCCCTTGCACCCCAAAGCCCTCTTCACACCCTGCTGCAACCCTGAGCTCAAATGGCTCACCTTCCCCAAGGCCTCAGGGCTGGAGGATGTGACTAAAACACTTATGTATAGAGAGTATACAGGACACCATACATGCACCTGAGCTCCATCAGTTTGGCTGCCATTGGACATTCTTTGGCTCAGGGTGGCCTGAATACTTGGGGGAGGCCCTGGGAAACACGCTGCATGACCACAAACACCCCTAAGGCTCACATGAAATTCCCAGAGGCAAAGAGGCCATGCTGCACACTTGCTCTGAGATGCCCTTGTCCCAGGCCACTAGGAAAGCCAGCAGGTCCAGTGGATACCTGCTTGCTCCAGAGATGTCCTTCAGAACAGACACTAGGCAGAGGTGAACCTGGATCTGTACGTGTGCCAGGGCAACATGAAGCCTGACTACTCTGGCAGATCCGGCTCCTTGTCCAAACTTGCTGCAGGCAGGAAGTAGGCTGACTGCTCAAAACTCAGGCACCAACAAGCATCTGCTGACCAGGAACCCACTACCTTGGGTGCAAAACCACTCCTCTTTCCACACCCTCTCCCAGGTCCTGTTCTTGGTGCTCCTCTTCAGTAGATGAAGATGAACCTGAGGAGAAATCCCCAGCATAAGGGGATGCTGGCAGCTTGAAGGAGACTTTGAACTGGGTAGTCTTAGCTCAAAAACATTTGCACCAGGCTGAGGTTGTGGTTCAGCGGTACAGCACTCGCCTAGCCCATGTGAGGCCCTGGGTTCGATCCTCAGCACCACATATAAATAATTAAAATAAAGGTATTGTGTCCAACTACAATAATATATATTTTTTTAAATTGCACCATGTGACTGTCATCCACAGAATCATGGTAAAAACAGGGAGGCTAACTGCTCCAAGACCTTTTCCAGCAATTAGCTCCCCCCCAAAAACTGAATATGCTAATCTTAAAAACAACAGGGAGAAAAATATGAGTCCCAATCACATGGGGATGCACAGCAAGGCCATAATTTACTTACACACTGCTGTAGAGGTCTAAGGAGCACCCCAGTGTCCAATCACCGTGTCTGCAGTGAGACATCGGGATGTCCCACTTCCAGGGAGCCAGGAGGCAAGGGCAGGTGACCTGATTCTTTCTTCATGGGCATTGGCTCTCAGCTGACCTTAGCCAGAGGTTATTTCTGTCCTATGCAAGTAAAGGAAGAGTTCATCAATTCTGAACATCAGGAGCCTGAAAGGGACTGGATCTGCAAACTGAGGGATGAGCACATGGTCCCCAGCACAGCAAGCCATGTTTCCTCCACTACACATCTCTCACTGGATACCCTGTGTAGGGCAGCAGCCTGCACACCCAGCTGCACCCACCTGTCAGTGCAGATGCATCAGCCTACCCCAGGGCATCCAAAGACAAAACCACACATCTGGTGACACGTTTTTTTTCAGTAACCAAGAATCCATTATGAAATTAAGAATCCTACCGAGCTGAGCTTTGGGGAAGGGAAAAGGAGGTAAGGGCTTACTTGGCTGGCTTGTGGGAGCAGGTTTGGAAACACCAAGAGCAGCACTAGCAAGCTAACACCTGCGGCACCACAGGTGAGCAGGCTTCCCTGTCTCTAGGAACTGCTGGGGCCAGACACCAGCTCTCCAGGGGTGGTAGAGTGGGAGACCTATCTGGGTTTGGAGGAAGCCTTCAGGGCGAGGTCACTTGCCTGCACTGTTCGTTCATGACACAGGCCTGTGTCTACCACCACTGGCCAGAGTCCCTAGCACCACCTCCAATTCCTCAATGACCAGCAATCCCACCCTCCTGGTGCAGACTTAGATGGAACACCCTGTTCAATGCACACCACCTCAGTGTCTCTCAGCTGACGCACTCAACACCAAAATTACTTTTAGAGAAGGCTGATGCAACATGCGTGCGCGCACACGCACACACACACACAAAAATAAAAAAGGCAGAAAAATTAGGAAATTAACCATTGATGATTCAAAACATTTTCTGAAATAAAATTCCAAAGTGAAGTTGGAGTTGCAGTGGAGAATAACATCCTGCCTCTGACCATCTGTCAGAAAATGGGACAAATTTTCCTAAACTTGTTTTGTGCTTCCTGACCAACTATCAAGTTCTGGCAGAGGAGGCTATGCTGGGAGAGTATGTGATACTCAGGAACTGCATCTCGCATCAAAAAAGGGCAGATGTACACTTGGGTGTGTCAATTACCTCACAAAGAAAATAAGCTGTGAACAAACATCAGACCTACTAACAAACACATGGAATTACTAGAGCACACTGAGGTCTGTGACCTGAAACACATATACAAGGAGGACCAAGGGCAACAGAGGGATGTAGCAAGCAGACAGGGAACCGGAGCCAGGAACTTGTGACTTCTCACACAGTGCTGTGCATCTGCAAATTCTTACAGGGTGCTGGGGGCACTGAAGTTCCACTTAGCTAGAGCTTTACAAGCTCCTCTCGCCTTTCAACAAAAAACAGGGACAAGTGAAGTTTCAGCACAGTTTCTTCTCAGGAGACCCTCAGTTCCCAGCACCAGGCCCGAAGGAGTCGTAGGCCTTGGGAAACACGCTGCATGGAAAGCAGGCCTCTGCTAGCTCCACAGCTGCCACCCCAGAGGCAGGGGTGAAGGACCAGCACACAGACTTGCTAAACAGGTGTTTATTAAGGCTTGTATTCTCCTAGAGGACAGCGATCCAACGCCGTCCATGACTCCGTACAGGCAGTAACAACTCAGAGCAAGTGACACGTTCTAGATACAAGTCTAAATAATACAGCTTACACTTTAACTCAGAGGGTCTTTTGGAGTAAATAGCTTCAGAAGGTATCTGCTCTCTAAGACAGGAAGGATCCTCTACAGCGGGCGCGTGCAGATTCGGTGTGCGAGGGTGGCGGGCGTGAGCACCACTTCCATGCTGGACTCCAACTCCAGGCGGCGAACTCCAACAGGCCCTCACTCCACAAAACATGACAGCAAATTCGTTTTCTAAAAGGGTTTTTTTGTGTGGGGGGTGTTTCAGGGAAATTTTTTTGTTTGGGGTATTTTTTTGTTTTTTTGCTTTTTTTCACCCATTCGACAGAAAAAAAAAATAGACACAGTGAATTTACAGTCGGCGGCATCACCCATCACACTGTCTGTACCACCAAATCCTACTTTTAAAGCTCAGTATTATTGGTACAAAAACTTAAGATGACATCGGAGTTCTCAAGTGAAAAAAAAGGGGGAAATTAAAAATGACCTGCCAACAACTAAGAACAACTGAACACTGATCCCAGACCTAAAACGCCTTCCTAATCCTTGGCAGCGGATTAGCCAGCAGCAGTGGGGGGAAGTGGCCAGTTCTGCGTGGGCAAGGCATCAGGAAGGATGGCTCTTCCCAGCACACAAACGTGGTCTCCACGTTAGAAAAATCAAGACTTATCTCTCTGTCCAGCAGAAAATCCAAGTGGACAGATCAACATTTTAGAAAGATAACACAGATAGCAAAAATGGCAAATCAATCACAAGAGGGTGATCTCTAATCTTTGATTTCGTGCTGTGAAGATTTTAACAGCATACTCTATCCAACAAAACCACCCATGTGTTCTTACATTTGCTATAAAACAGTAGAGAGGAGAGAAATAAAGTCTCCTATGGAAACAATAAATGACTGGATAAAATAATAAGAACATAATTTCTTCCAAAATTAAAAAAAAAATCTTTGGGATGTATTAGGTTTTTTATTGTCTTTAAGGATATTTATATTTTGCATTAGGTCAGTCTGACTGATAAGCTGACAAAAAATACTTCTTTATTAGTGAGTTCTACAATATTATAATACATAGAAAAAATACAAATGAATGCAGACCCATCTGGCAAAAATGAACTACAAAGAAGGTAAAGATGCCACAACTCAACCCACACAGGACGACACACTGGAGCTGACGCCGAAGACAGCACCAAGCATACAGTTTTAAAATCTGCTTTCAAAGGAACTGCTAACCACATAAGAAACTGGCTTGTCCTTATTGTTTGTTTCGATTCTGCCGTTCCTGTAAAAAGAAAGAGGAGAGGAATTTAACACACTAAGCAACTGTGATGGGCAGGCGAAGCCCCACTTAGGTGAGGCCAAGGCTGCCCTGGGTCAGTCACAGACCTGGACCTGTGCTTCCTGCTCAGCAGCCTGGCCACAATCAGCACCTGTGCCCTGAGCTACAGAGGGACCAGGCACAGAGACCAAAGCAGGCACCTCTACAGAGGGAGGCACTGAGCTCCATCCTGCCCCTCATGAGGACTCTCTGAAGAGTCCCATGGGTCCACACCTTTGTCAGCTCTCCCTCACATCAATGCCATGCTACATGGAAATACAAAACAAGTGAAACTCGAGGAAGGAACATGCAAAGGAGACTTGAGTGTGCCAGTTACCCAGGAGACGTGCTTCTGTATTTTCTCTCATTTAAATCTTCCAGAGACTCAGAAGACATAAAGTTTATCCAACTGGCTAAAAAGTGAGCTCCACGTCACTTGGCTAATGAAGAACAGAACAGGAGGATAAGCAGGAGTCCATCAGTTCTGGCCCTTTCCAACAGCTCAAGTCCCCTGTAATACCACACAGAACACTGACCAATGTGGGGCAAGGCTCTTCCAGCCAGGCTTACCTCTATTTCCATAAAAACAGCAATCTTCCAAAGCATGCCTGACATGGGTTTGAGACCTACATCCAACTCTTTCCCAATTGTGTCTGCATGGCTTCTAATCAGTGGGTCTAGGAGCCATCTCAGTCTTTCCTAACACGCAGAATCTAAACTCAGCTCTTGACATGAAAACGGCATTCCCCTCATCTGCTGCAGACTGACTAAAGCACGACTTCAGGTTCCCCTCCTATATTCTGTGTGGCTCCTGTTCTGAGACTCAAGTGAACCTGGGTGAAGGAGAAGGGTGGACAGCCACTCTGAGAATTAACATCTCCTCCCTACCCTCAAGTGCACAACTGGAGAAAGGAAAGACTTGGGGGCTGGGATTGTGGCTCAGCGGTAGAGTGCTTGCCTAGCACGGGTGGGACCCAGGTTCGATCCTCAGCACCACATAAAAATAAAATAAAGGCATTGTGTTATGTCCATCTACACCTAAAAAATAAATATTTTTTTAAAAAAAGAAAAGAAATACTCAGTCTTCTGCATTCCTTTAGGCTCTCTTTAAGCAAGTCTTAATGCTACCAGCAAAACATCCAGGAAGCAGACTTTGCAGTACACCATCTGCTCTTAAAAAAAGCAGCATTACTCAAACCTCTCAAAGAGCTGACAGAGGAAGCACAGCTCAGCCTTAGAGGAGCGTACTAACATGCATGTATGCATACTTATTCTTAAGCTCCCTCCTTTAACCCTCCCTACTGAGAGGATCTGGTGTATGTGCAGATGACAGGGAGGGGGGCCTGCAAAAGTATCTGCAACAGTGCAACACATGCTTGTGGAGCACATAGTTTTCACTGTTTTAAGCACCCTAAAGGAGGACTGTTTGTAGATTTAAGGACTTGGTCTCATACAGCTGCCATGAAATTGAGTGCTTTCCTAAGTCAGTAAACTTCCAAGTTGGACAGGGGAGCTTTGTAAAAATGTTAACTGTATTGTACTTTCTAAACATTAGGTACCTTTTAAGTTACAACAACTGGAAATCAGTGAGGTTTGTCATGATAAACAAAAGGTGGGTAAGTTCTCAGACACCTTGAGATCACCTGGCCAGCAGAAGACACTACTCCAGAGGGAGGAAGGGCTCCTGACTCAGACTCAACCCCAGAACACCTAGGGTTCTCACTCCTGAAGGCAGGCCAGAGCACCTGGCAAGCAAAGCTGAGCATCCATCAGTGGAGGTCTACCACAGAGCATTACATTTCTCTACACAGTGAGCTTGGAAGGTACTGAAATTCCACCAGAACCAGTACCAAATCAGAGTTCTCACGCATCACTTTCAATAATAAACTAATGTTAAAGGGGAATCACATGAGTATACAGCTTTTTGTTCTAGCTAACATGGTCTGTGGGAGAGGCACTAGTTCCTTCCTATGGTGCTCATAAAGCAACTCAGTTGGACTGGCCAATGGAGCACCCAAGGGATGGGGGACCAAAACAGACCCTAACCACAGGCAGATGCCCACAGGCCTTGCCGGTCGTTCAAAAGGCTCAACCTGAGGCCTGACACAAAAATGCAGTGTCACAAGTTGTTATAATGAAAGTTTTAAGACACTAGCATTTTAAAAACACCAACCAGTTCAGGGGTGGAATTTTAACCTTAAGCTCATCACCAAACTTTGGGACCCAATGCACTTTAGGAAAACCCAAGTATTCAGTATTTAAGAAAAACCAAGCGCGCGCACACACATACACAGATATACACAAAACAGCCAGCTGCCAATTTAAAGCCAGATCTGTTCTAACCCTGCAAATTCAGCAGTTCAGCACAACTGTGCATTGTATCAGCAATGTTCTGCAGGATGACAGCGGTGCCACAGGACTAACCTGACCTGTGATGCTGCAGCCACCTTCATCTGTGCAGGTGCATTTTATGATGCCCACAGAACCTCAAAACTGCTCAAACAATACTTTCTTCAGACTCTGACCCACTGTCAGGTGATGGCTTGGCTGTAATTGATACCCCAAAAGCTAAAATACAGAATTAACTGGAAACAAATGACCCCCTCTTCAGGCATTCCACTCTTTACTATGAGGGTAACCTAATGGTGCCAGCACAATGGCACTGCCAGGACCCTCTGCACGCTGCTCTGCTCCAGACACTCAGACATTTGCATTCGTTTGAGCAACTCCTCCTCCAACACAGGACAGAAATGATGAGAAAGCCAGCTGACCAACTGAAACTCCACCAAAGAGAGACAGCCTCAGGACGAGCACTCTCATGAAGAGAGCTCTGCAAATCATATCAGGTCCTTTCTTCTGGGGCCAGCATCTGGGAGTATGGGCACCTGGGCCCTCCCCAAGAGAAGCCACACTAACTCCAGGGAGCTATAAGGTTCATATGCCAGGAGCTTCACTGTGGGCCTAGCAGGCAATCAGGAGCACCTCAGATACCTGGATCTGAACACGTCTATTTAACACTGTGACTCCAAGCTTGCCCCTCACCACTACCCTCTTAACTATTTCGATGGAGTGGGCCAACGCTCTTAAAACTGCAGGATACTGAGTTTCTAAAAGAAAAACAAATGATCAGACTGGACCAGACCTTTCAACTGTTGAGGGGAAGAGCCCTCAGGCAGGTGGGAAACCAAAGTGCCAGCCAGTGCCTACAGCAGCCTTGCTGGCTTCTCCAGTACCATGTGAACACTGCCTTCCAAGTGTTCTCCACTGAGATCACCATTCAGAAAGAAAACAGGACAAAGAGAGTAACTTCCCTCAGGTTCCTTGTTACCTTATGTGTACAAAATGTTCCCTGCTACCATGTTTCTTAAAAACTGAAGCCATCGAAAGTTATCTGGTGACATCCACTCAACCATAATCACTGGATTCTCCCAGTAGCCACTGTAGGGAAAGTTCGTCGATGCTGCCGGCCTCCTCTGGATGCCTGGCCTGCCCAAGGCCAACCAGGCAGTCTGTCACAGGACCCATCTGCTTCCTGCCTGGCTGCTGCTCAAGCCACCTTTCACATGCATAGAAATGAGACACCAAGGGGTGCAGCAGGTGCCTGAGACACCACTCACCTTGCGCACCACCTCCTCCTCCTCCTGCCGCTTCTCATAGTGAGAAAAGTCATCAAAGATGGAGGTGGTGTGCTTGTAGGAAGCAATAATTCTCAGCACTTGTTTGGCTTTTTCTAGGGGCACCTCCTGTGTGTCTCGGGAGTTTGTGACCGGTTTGTTGTCGTTGTTCTCTAGTCTGATGTGCCGGAGCTGGTTATTGGGCACGTCCTTGACAAAAATCCACTTCACGTCAAACTTGCCCTTCCACTTGTCCTGAGACCAGACCCCAGCACTGGTGCCATAGTCCACAGGAGACTTCATCTCCGCCACCCCGCAGAAATGCCCACTCCCGTTGACACTGAAGAGCAGGTAGACAGGCCCCTGGCTGCTCACAGCACGGAAGGCGCTGTCCAGGCGCTTGTTGCCATGTTCCGTGCTGCACCAGATGGAGTACTTGATGGAGCGATGGATGTCGTCCTCAGAATAGCTCTTTATGATGAACACCCGCCCGCTTTTAAGGTTCCAATCAAATTCTTTAGGGTTGTAGCTGTGGGCGGCTTTCAGTTTCTCAAGGACGGGGTGGGAGTCTACACCAGGGGCAGAATTAGACTGGGAATTTCCAGGAGAGTTACTATCACTGTTAGCCCCTCCACTCTGCCCAAAGGCAGCATTTCTGTTTCGAGGGGCGACCCAGCGGGTTTGGGGTGGCTGCTGAGGACTCTGATACTGTGGAGGGGCCAATGGGGGAGGCTGAGCTGGGAGAGGCTGGGCCACCTGCAGGGGCTGTGGGGCAGACTGGGGGACTGGTGCCTGCTGGGGGGCTGGGGCCTTCGGCACAGGCCCCTTGTTATCCCAGGTGCCGATGTCCATGTTATGCTTTATAGGTGGAGGAGGCAGGGCACCCCCGACTACAGGCCCACTCTTTGTTTTCATTTTAGGCTGTGGTTTTGCAGGCTTACTAGCAATAGCAGCCCAAGAGGTTGGTTTTGAGACTGGCATATTTACATTTGTCCCACCATTGCCAGAAAGGACACCTGTCAGTGCCACACTGCTGACAACAGAGCCCACCGTCTTGACCGCAGAGGTGGTAACATCCCCGATCTTTAGGCCAACCATGCCCTGCTCCAGGCTGTTCATCCCAGGTGCCTTATTAAGGGTATCACTGTGAAAACCTGTCTGCCCATCAACAACCGTGCCACCCAGGGAGCTTGGAGGGTAGGTATAGCTGCTTCCATATGCAGAGCTCTGGGTCTGCTGCCCCTGAGAACCACTTGCCCCCCACGCTGAGAATGCAGGGTTTTCAGGGAAGAAGCTAAACCTATGCTGATACATGCTGTTCCCCAGGCCTCCCGGCTGCCCAAAAACAGCATCGTGCATGAAATGATGGTCTCCGTTACTGAGCTGCCCATAAGTGGTGAGGTATGGAATTGGAGGGTCCCCTGCGGTGGACCACGGCGCCTCATTGAGGGAGTAAGGAAATCCGATGGATGGTGGATAGTAGCTGGACAGGTAGGGATCGCTCATCGAGGGGTAACTGTTACTCTGTGAAAACAAACAGGGTGACTAGTTAGACTGCTACTACATGAGGACTGAATCTGCTGACCACTTCTCACACAGGCTGCACATAATCCAGCCTGATACTGCACAAGTGACTCATTCTTAATGGAGCAATAAAGTCCATCAACTTGAGAACAAAGTCAGGATCCAGAGAAATTAGTAACAAATATCACCCAGGTCACCATCTCAAACACCAAGCCTCACTCACAGTGATCTAAGCTCAAGTTCAATTACTGAGCTGAGCCCACTAGAGCTAGATGGACAGCTCTCTCCTCCTTCTACCATCAAGTCTGACCTATTTAGAGGAACCCAGAGTGGGGAATTAACCCATCCTGCGTGATGATGCTGGCAATATCAACAGACAGCAACTTTGACAGGGCACTGGGATATTTATGGAGGCTCCAGTTCACTGAGCAGTTAACACGTCCCAGGTGTCCCTCCTCTAGACCTTCATACCTACTTCCCACAGTTGACCTCAGCACTCCTCACCACCCTCAAGGGCTGCTTCAGAGCAGTACCGAAAGACACTTCCCTGTGGAGTAAAGCACCTGTGTAGAGGTGCTGAAGGGGAGGTGCCCAGTGCGAGGCCAGAAAGCACCACTTGTTATCAGCATTTCAGAATCATCTCTTACAATGAAATAACAATTGTTTCCCTATAATGAAGATCTTTGAGATTCTACAAATGAGACACTATCGATGTTGTGTAAGACAAAAAAACTCAAGCTTATCCTCCCTTGAGAGGATTTCAATGGTTCTGGCCGCTGTACTGCAACCTCCCCTCCTATACCCCCACCCAGTCAGTCCTCAGAACAGCCTATACAGCCAGGCCAGGCAGGTGGAAAGCCTAAATGGGGACCTGCTTCACGAGGGATGCCTGCATGGACACAGGACAAACGGGGCAGTTCTTCCAAAGGGAAGCCAGTGCTCCTCTCCACCCTGAGCAGCTACGATCACCTCCATAAGCAGAAAGGCAGAGGAAGGAGAAGCCCCAGGGGCCGTGGAACTGACCCACAGGACACAGACCACGCAGTGAGGCCAGGCACACCCAGGATATTCAACTGAGATGAGAAGTGTGTAATGATTTGAGGTGACATACACGCAAAAGGACACTCCTGAAAGTCCACTTGAGGTACCACAAACACACACGCAGGAAAAGCCCCTCCAATAACCCATCCTGCCCACTATACAGCAGAGAGCCCTTGGCTGCTCCCTGCCAGCACTGTCCAACTCACCTTGGTAACATGGTTCAAGCACCTCACCACTGAGCCCCCAAATCCTAGAATTCCTGCTCCTTTAGGATTTGAACACAAAGGTCCTAGCCACTATTCCCCTGCAAAAACCATCACACCCCAGGAGAAGGAAAGGCATGAGTTCAAGAACCACAAACACACAGAAAAGGCAGGAGTGAGGCAATGAGGCAAGCAAGGAGGGCCTCGCCTCTCCTTTCTCCTGAGCTGTCAGCTGTGGGGTAGGGAATAAGCAAAAACAAAGCTGCAGCTCTCCTAAAGACTGTGAAACTCTTCAGAAGAGAGCCCTTTCTTCTGCTCCTTTTTTAAGAGGTGCTGGGGATCGAACCCAGGGGCGACCACTGAGCCACATCCCCAGCCTTTCCATTTTTTAACTTGAAACAGGATCTCAGTTGCCCAGACTGGCCTCAAACTTGTAATCCTGCTTTAGCCTCCCAAGTTGTTAGGATTACAGGTGTGCACCACCATGTCAAGTTCAACAGCTCTTTCTTAAACATTTAATTAATACAACAAAAGAAAAAGATTTCCAATTTCTAGATAAGAGGCTGTAGTTTCCTAGAGCTCCCTAACAGTGCTATAAGGCCCACTGGTGGCTGTCACAACCCTGAACCATGCCCTCCCCTCCACCTCTAGATAAGCTCTGCCAGCAGGCCATCTTCCAACCCTTCCCACTAGCACAGGGACCTGAGGCTATGGGTTCAATTTCAATTTTTATCTCAAGCCTACTGACAGCCCATTTTCTATTACCTCTGCCATGCCTCTTTCCAATCTCTGAAAATAAAGCAGCTGGTTATTCTGCAAAGCTATCTAAAACAGGCCAAGTACAGAAAAACATCTGAAGGTGATGCTCTTGCCCTCTACGTGCTGAACACTGCAGTCCATGCCGCAGACCTCCCCTGGGAAAAGAGTGGTTCTCAGTCACTGTCTGAGGAGCACAGGCTGACTATTCTGGTCTCAACCTCAGACACTGGCTTCAAATATGCCCTCGAGCTGTGCCTGGGTGATTGATAAAGCACCCAGAGCCTATCTTGAGTCCTCTGCCTCCCTCTGTCCTGTACACAGCCAGGCACAGATCAGCATTCATGTTGGCAAGTGCTGCAGGTAAGACTGGTTGTGACCCAGACCCTCCCCAGCTTGGTGGCACCACAGGGGAATCTAAGCTAGGAATATGCAAGTTTCTTCAGCAGAGACACAGCTGAATAAGCTGATATTATGAAAGCAAACTCAATGCTTGCTCCTCACACACGAACACCTCTGAGCAAGCACATGTGGGCCTCCAGTTCCTCCTCAGGATACAGTGGGTGCTGCCGCATCCAAGACTTCTAACCACAGCCCTGGGTATGACAGGACTGCAGAGACTAGCACATCTTCAGTCAAATCAGAGCCACTGACAGGAAAACTTAGCTCTTCACTCTTAAGGGTCCTCCCTCCAGAGGAACTAAGAAGTGATAAACACCTCAGAGAAACAAATTTTAAATAAGCAGTGACCATTATCCCTAGATCATTAGAAACACTGAGTAAACAGAGAAACCATAAACCTACTCTAGAACAAAGAGCAATTTTCCAGCTTCCTCAGGTTTAATTTAAAAAGACAAAACAAGCCGGGCATGGTGGCACACGCCTGTAATCCCAGCGGCTTGGGAGGCTGAAACACTAAGCAACTCAGTGAGACCCTGGGCTGGGGATGTGGCTCAGTGGCCGAGTGCCCTAGAGTTCAATTCCCAATACCCCCGCCCCCCAAAAAGACAAAACAGAATGTAAAAATGCCCAGGGCCACTTAACCTGGAGCTGAAACACTTGTTTACACTATTCATTTTCCAGAGAAGGAAATTCTAAGACAGTTGAAACACTTTAATTTCACAAACATAAAGTGACTCAGCATCATAGGAACTCAAGAGAAGCAGAAAGGTCCCTCCTAAGCCCAAGATGAACAGAGCACCTGTCTGCTCAAGATGAAGCAGGTACTTAATCAAATCACATTAATTATGTGTGGGCAATGCTGAAAACCGACCCAGTGACAGGATCCTGGAACTGCTGACCAGAGCCAACAGAGCCAGCCAGGGTAGCCTCACTGCTTCAGCAGTCTCGGATGAGTCTTGAGGATGGAGAAGATGTTACAGAAAAAAACCCAAGCCCTGAGCACTTTACTCTGTCATTCTTCCTGTCTGTCCTGAAGGCAGGTGCTTCTGAGGCTTAATTTCAGCCCTTCAGATGGTTGGTCAACCTGCAGAAACAGCAGTTTCCAACACAGAATTTCTGCATCTGTTTCAGCAACTCACCAATAAGCAGCACATGAAGACTTCCCCTCTTTTCAGATGAACTGCTAGGAAGCAGTCAGATGGCAAATCCCTATCTACCTAGTAAGCACCGCCACTAGACCTTCTAAGAAAGCCCATATTGTTCAGTTGCAGCCACAGAAACCGATGCAGACCTGGGTGATTAAGCATGTGTCTGCTGACCCTTCAGGTCATCCTGGTCCCACCAGAATCACCTGGACTTAGCATTAAGACAAAAGCCAAATTTCTGCCAGCTTTATGCACTGAACAGAAGCCACGGACACCACGAAAGGTCCAGCACCAGATGAAAAAACTAACCAAACCTTGGGTGATGGGGTGAGTGTGACTCTCAAGATAACAACTCCATGCCAAAAGCTTCTCCAAGGTCAAATACAGAGGTACAAACTTCAACATAACCACACAGGACAACACCTGAGCAACAGCATACTCAGGGACTCTTAAGTGACACCACATTAAACACTCCAGGTCTTCCTGAACTCATGAAATCACCCCACCAGCCTTCAAGCAAGTGATCACAACAACATTCAGCCCTTTTAAAAGAAGACTTGATTAGGGCTAGGGTTGAGGCTCAGAGTTAAGAGCATTTGCCTATCACATATGAAGCACTGGGATCAATCCTCAGCATCACATAAATAAAACAGAAGTGTAAAAAAAAATAACATTACATATATCAACTTGATTAAAAGCATAGTCTTCCTAAAGAAGTTCAGAAAAGACAAACCACCAATTATCAGTCCTGGGACTCAAACAGGAAAATTTATAAAACTTTTTTATAAAATGAGTGTTCCATGAAGAAACAAAACCTCTCAATGTCCTTACTTTCTGTTCCTGTCAGGTGTGACCAGGCAAATGATTGTGTTGACAACCAAGGACTTTAAATGCAGGTGCAGGTGCCACCTCCCCTGTGCCCAGGTGCCCTTGCTCATTTGTCAGTGCCAGTCAGAGGTCAAAGCACACATGCTTCAGAGGCTGGTACAGGCCTGGAGGACACAGTGTCTCCCGAACCGGGACATCACTCAGGCAGTGTCTTACACTCTGAAGGGACCTGCTCTGGGTCCTCCTAGTCCTTATCTTTCAAAAACAAACAAAACAGCAAACTAGAAAGCCTGAGCACATCTGCTTCAACAGAGGACAGCCTGAAGCCCCTCACTGAGCCCTTCTGCTCCCCTCATTTCCAAAAAAGGTTACGGACACACATCTTCTGTTATAGACCAGGGTGGAACCATAGGGCAACACAGCGAAGGCCTCTCTAAGGCAACAGCCCCACTGCAGCTCATAGAGCCGCACTGACCTATCCAAACACATGCTCTTTGAACTTCCCAAATCACTCCAGCATCAGATTCACAAAATGAAGCAGCACAATGCATCACACAAACCATACGATGGATGCAAAGCAAGGGTGAGGGTAGACCCATGACCTTCAATGTTGTCATGGCTCTGCCAACAGGCCTGTGCAAGCTACGCCAGAGCCATGAGCTCTCACACATCAGGAACTCCTTGACAAAGCTGCCACACACACAATGTTCGCCCAAGTCCGTGAGCACTGAGCATACCAACAAGGATTCTGAGCTCATTTCTTCAGCCACAAAAGACCTCTCTTCTGGCTAGATGGTCACCACAGCACAGCTCTCATGTGAGAAAGCAAGAGAGAACTTTTCTATCTCAGCCACCTGTATCAGAAGAATTCAGCAAGTCTAGCAGCAGTAACAATCCCAAATGACTCATGGCCAAAACAATAAAATAAGGAGAATTCAAGGCAAGGAAACAAAAGTCGTGGTCCCACATGAAGAAGCAAGCAACACAAAGACAAAAGCATAGACACCTGCGGAATACCTGCAGACACTCACAGGGAGCGCCCTGGCTCTACATCACAATCCTCCACCTGGGCGGACTGTGGTCTGACTGGTCCTCAACTACTTTACCTCTGAATAACAATGAGGACTGAAGAGCTCTCCCATGCTGTGTGCTTCCTGCCTTATATTAGAAGCTGTGTATTTCTAGAAAATCTGCTATCGATCCACCAGGAGCTTAGATGTACTCTCAAGTATGTGCTGATTGATCACCCTGCTAAAAAGTACACATCTTAACATATAGAATGCAGGAACCATTTTAAAGCTGTCCACTACTGGTAACCTCAACCTAATCGAAAGTCTTTATCCATGGCTGCTCAGAGGGCAAAACAGCCACTGACAGTGGAAAATAATCTACTCCATAGTTAAGAGAAATCCTTCTGAACAATGTAAGAGCTTTAATTTTGTAAAAATACATTTCAGGCTGAGCATGCTGATGCACGCCTATAATTCCAGAAACCCAGGAGGCTGTGGCAGGAGGATCACCAAGTTTGAGGACAGCCCTGGCAACTTAGTGAGAACCTACCTCAAAATGAAATAAATAAGGCTGAGGATAAAACTCAATGGTAGAGCACTTGCCTAGCATACACAGGCTCTGGGTTTTATAACCAGTATTGCAAAACACATATGTATATATGTGTATGTGTACACACATACATACACGTGTATATACACACGCACATACATATATATACACACACGTATATACAGACACACACTTTAAAGTATAATGAAATAACCTGTCTCCCCTTGTTTTGGTCAAAATCTAGTACGTAATATTACTATAAGAATAGTAGAAAGTAAATAGGTCATAACTTTTGCCCAAAAGTCCATAAATGCTAGGTCAGTTCTGCAACACCCTGTCCTGCCAGAGGAGGGACAGACTGTCAGGGGCCATCAAGAGACTTGGTGGGTCAAGGTTCCCTCTGTACAATTTCCCAGGCTCATAAACTGCAGACTTGTTAAATGCACTGGGAAAGAAGAAGATGGAAAAAAGCTCGAGGATACTTTAGAAAAGGGCAGATAAGAACAACACTGGCAGGCTAGTTTCACCCCACCGCAGGGAAGAGGCAAAGCTTGGTTTCATTCTGAAATAGGCACTGTACCTTTTCAAAGTGGCAGATATTAAGGCTAATCCTAAATTTCAACTTGTTCAGTGGTTTTTAACCAGGACAATTCTGTCCCCAGGAGACATTTGCAACTGTCACTACTCAAGTGGGAGTGCTCATGGAACCTAATGGGTAAAAGCCAGGGAGGCTGGGGAACATCCTACAATGCACAGAATGGTCTGGCCCAAAATTCCAGTGCCATGGCCAAGAAATCCTGAAATACCTAAGGAAACAAGGCAAATGTGACTTGCTATTTCAAACAAAAGGAAATTAAAGCACAGGGAAGGCAAGCCACCTGAGAGCCAAGGTTCAAGCCCAGGGCAGGAGTCCAGCTCCACCATCCAATGCTTAGCTACTCTCCTAAGCCACAATTCAATCCTACAAAACTAAAAACAACATGCCAAAAAACTTTAGCAAACTATGCACGACTGCACTCCACAAAAGGCACTACACCTCACACAAGGATTCTACCAGCACCCAAGCCCAGTAGAGTGCTACTTCCTCCAGGGGAAACTACCTGTGTCATACTTGTGCCCCAAGTGGAATAAGAGAAAGACTTCAAAGGAAATCTTCAAGATTAATACTAATATTAACCACTTCTAATAGTTTCTAATTTAGGATAATAAAGTAAAAAATATGACAAAAAATGTGTTACAACTAATTATAATTAATTTAAAAGTAAGTATATGCTAACAAAATGAACTCACCGGATTGGACTGTCCAGAAAGGTAGGGCTCAAAGTCATTGTCATGAACTGTATCCTTCTGATGCAAAGAACCATTTTGTACTAGAACAAGAAGTTGCAAACCATTATCAAGTTTTAAGATTACTTTTAAGCATGGAAATCAAAGTAACGCCTATTTTCATCAATTTCTATGAGAAACTGATTTTATTTAAAATGAGCACAATCAATATAAATCTGTTTTCACATCTAAATAAAATGGTGATGCAGACTTTCATCAATTTAGGCTACATTTTTGATAATGATATAATTTGGTAGATGTGACAAAATGTAAGTGCAAACAAAATACAAGGAGTTCACAACCAGATTTTGTTGAAACTGACAAAGTCTAAGAAGATCTAAGTGGCGCCAACAGAGAATGTAGCCTCCATATGTCCAGCTTGTGGATGTTCAGCTGGGAAGGGGCTGTAACAGAAGCTCACCATTATCTGGCTCTCCCCTTACTTTCCACTGTTACAATGCTCAGCCAGAAAAGGAAAGGTGAATAAAGCACTGGGCCTTTTCCAATCTTAAAACACGATGAACCCTATTTGGTTGCACCGGAGTAACACTCTGGTTAAAGCAGTCTTGCAAGTAAGCATCAAGAGTCGCCTACAGGCTCTCACAGGAGTGCACTCTGGGGCTTTATTCCAAGCAAGAACACAGGAGATGAGAGTAGACTTAGGAAAACAAGGGAGCAGATGGTCTACAGGCGATGGTCTTAGCTGCCTCTCTGGGAGAGCCAGCTAAGGGCGGCAGAGGACTGGTTACTCAGCCCCTGGCCCCTGTGCTTGCCCTTTGAACAGTGCCTTATCTCCTTCCCTTTCCCCCATCAAATCAACAATCTTCCAGTGAGAGGGAAGGGCTGCACTATTCTGAGCACCCATTTATTTACTTCTCCTTGAAAAGCCTGTCTTTGACCAGTCAAATCTCCAGGAAACGGAAAGTTTCATCTCCCATTAGCTGCCAGGAGGAAAGCAAGTTTCCGGTTCCAGACGTGGCTTGTGGACCTTCTCTTGCCCAGGCAGGGCAGCCTGTCCTCCTCCAATGCCCGCATGGCCATCCTGGAACTCTCCTCACCTTTATTATCTTGTCCTTTTGTTCTCTGCATCGCCGCAGGCCGGGAGGTGCGAACAGACACAGCCCAGCCCGGAAAAGGAAAGACAAAGTTACTCTCCAGCGAACTCTCCCGAGCAGGGGCCAGGCGGATGACCCGGCCCGGCCTCCCGCGGCCCCGCTCCCCGAACCCCAGAACCCGGGACCCCAGGTCGGACCCTATGGCCCTGACCTCGCAAACCCAGTCAGGCCCCTAGGTCCTCGGCTCCGGCCCCTCATTCCCAACCCTGCCCTCCAGATCCTCGGCTCCCGTCCTGCATCCCAGACCCTGGCCTGTCCAGGTCCTCAGCCCCAGTCACGCATCCCCGACGCCGATCAGGCCTCCAGGCCCTCGGTCCCGGCCACGCATTCCTGACCACGGCTAGACCTCCAGGACTCAGCCCACCCTCGCAACCCGCGACCCTGCATCCAGGTCCTCGGCCCCACCCCCGCATCCCCGACCCTGGCATCCAGGTCCTCGGCCTGGCCCCGCGTCCCCTATCGCGGCCTGGCCTCCAGGCCCCCAGCCCCGAGACCCTGCCTGGCCTCCAGATCCCCGCCTAGCCCCCGCGACCCCAGCCCTCTGTCCCGGCCCCGCGGCTCGCGACCCCAGCCCCGAGACCCAGGCCCGCCTCCAGGTCCCGCCTCGCGCCCGCCCCGCTACCTGGGGGTCCACGCTGGTGGCCGACATGCTTCATGAACAGCGCGGCGCGGGGCGGGCGCCGAGGGCTTGGGCCTCCCGCGAGGCCGGGCCTGTCGGCCCGCGCACGCGGCCCCGGGCCTCGCCGCCAACTCCGCGGGCGCGGCCGAGCGCAGCGGCGGCACTAGGCGCGCGGGCCGGGAGCGGCGGTCGGGCGAAGGGCCGGAGCGGACAAGCGGAGGGGACGCCGACTCCAATGGCGGCGGCGGGGACGAGGCTGCGCGACGTCGGCGCGCGGGGCAGGCCGGGAATGCCGTCGGGCCGCCGCCGCAGCGCATGCGTGCGACCTTTTCACGAGCCCGATTTCGCGCCTAAGTCCCAGTTTTGCGCTGCGGGGCGGAGCCACTCGGGAGAAGGAGGAACGGAAAGTCACGTGGGGCCTTTGCGGCTGAGCCGGCCGAGCAGCAAGCAAACGGCGGTGGCTGCGGGAGCTTTGGCCCCGGCTTGTACCTACCTCGCTTTCTAGCCCTCCTCAGCAGCTTCGGAGCCCCAGTCGGCTTCCCTGGCTGCTCTGTGTGTGGGCTCTGGGGCCTGCGAGGGGCTTGCCCGTTTACAACCAAGGCCTGTGTTAGGTTCTGGACCCCTATTTCACCACAGAGAGGAAAAGAAAATTTAGCCATGCTCTCTGCAGAGGCCTTTGTTTTCTGTTGAAGGATGGACAGTACCTACCTGGTTCCAAGTTCACGGAGAAACCTGGTTCCTCTTTCTATGACCTAGCAGGGTCTCCAACATGGGGGACCCTTCTGGTCAGGCGTTACATACCGGCTCCTGTCCTACCATCCTCCACCCTGAGTCCAGAGCCCTCCCAGGTTTCCAAGTAGGTTTCTTTTCTCTGGCAGGTGGTGCATCTTCAGATGATCCAGATGAGTCCTGTTCTTATCCTGCTGAAGGACTGATGTGGTTCAGGCTGAGGTTCATGCCAGTCGGGTCCTGGGAGTGCTCACAAAGCAAACCAAGGCAATGCACTGAGCAGAATGAAGAGCACCAGAGAAGGATCAAAGAGAGGCTCCGAGCCTGGGTATCCGAGGAGGAGGAGGTGGAGATCAGCCCCCAACTGGTCTGCCCCTGGGGAAGACCGCTGCTCCCAGTTTTGCCATTGCTTGGTCTCCCTGGGCCCCTGCCTGGCCTCGACCTGGAAAACACAGGCCTAGCACAAAGCTAGCAGGGTCACCGGATGCCCTGAGGAGGAATCTGGGTGCTGATGTGTTCAGGCAGTGGGCAGTTCCTGCCAATATGGAGTCCATGCTTCACTGGATCTGAAAATATGCAGTGCTTGTCCAGAGTGCAGCAGACACAGGGATCTGCACTGGCACAGATGTGGGGACACAGCAGTCTTTGAGGACCAGAAGCCCTGCCTCCCACCCCTGTGTAGTGAAGCTGGGACCCTTGGAGAGGGGCCACAAACATGCTTCCAGGGAGCCTGGTTACTCAGCCTTCTAGAAACCTCTGCCCTCTTCCTCCCCCCAAATCACATGCCTCAGACAGAATCATGCAGTGGTCCCAGGGGTTGGGGGCCAAGTAGCCAATTACAGGTCCTCTAACATTGTGGGGGCTCCTTTTCTTCACCCACCAATACCCAAGCAGCCTCAGGAAGCCATGCTGGTCCCGAGGGAACACCATTCAGAGTTTAGATGACTTCTTTGATAGGCAAGCCCTGGGGGTGCACGACATTGGGGCTGAATTAGTTTATGAGGACAAATGTAACAAAGTGCCAGAGACTGGGTGGCTTAAGAGAATAGAGATTTGGTTTCTCCCAGTTCTGGAGGCTAGAGTCTGAGATCAGTATAATTGAACTAAGATCAAGGTATGGACAGGGTGTTCTTCCTTCAGGGACTCTAGGGAGAACCTTTGCTGCCTTTCCAGCCTCTGCTGGTGTTCAGCACCCTGCCTGCGGTGGCTTCCAACCCTGCCTGTCCCAGTATGAATGAATGACCTTCCTCTCTCTGTGTGCCTCCCACGAGGACACATATTGGATCTGAGCTCACTGCCATCCAGGATAGCCTCATCTTAATGTGTTTAGATCTGCAGAGAGCCTGTTTCTGAATAAAGCCACATTCACAGGTTCCAGGTAGACATGAGTGGGTGAGGCACTCTGCAGCCCACTCCAGGGATCACAGGTGAGCAATGCTGACAGGAAGATTCTGGAGTGGAGATCCTGGGGCTGAGTGAGCTTCACCCGTGCATGTGGACAGGAGGATCAGCCCCTTCAACCTGGAGCCCCAGTCCCCACCATCCAGAGAAGGGGCCAGTGGGATAGACACTCCCTGACCCACCCCAGGCTGTGCCCACCAGCCCTACAAGCTGGAGGGCTTCTGCTGATTCAAGCGAGGGAGAGTGTCAGCACTGCTGGAGCAAGGGCATTTGGGGTCTCGACTAGCAGGAAACAGGGATCCCCAAAGCAACTTGAGCACAGGGATGGTGTATACAGGTTCAGGGTGCACAGCTGTAGAGTCTTCTAAGACCCCTTGACCAGCTTCAGGGGGAGGCCTTTACCTTGGCCAGACCTGTGGTCGCTGGACAATATCTTTAACCACAGAGGGCCACAGCCACTATAAGACCAAAAGGGGAAACTCCAGGCTCATCCTCCCAGGACAAGCAGGCTGGAGCCATGGGATCCCCAAATGACACAAGCTCAGTGCTTTAGAACCGACCCCATAGTCTGTGCTGGGACCCACAGGCCTTCCCACTCCCAGGACACTCGAGTCCTGCCCTCCAGTCTGACCCCTGCTTGTGCTTCCGTCTCAGGCCAGGTGGGTGTGGTACAAGGCTCTCCAGGCCTCAGAGCCTCTGGCTGTCTGAACGTGGTCAGTTGGGCTTGTCACCAACTCACAAGTGAGACCCTCAGTCACCTGGAACTGAATGCTCCTGTCGGTGGGCAGGACCCTTAGTCTCTGAGACATCAAAGAACGGCTGGCACTTGCTCTACACTCAGCGTCCTTGGAGCCTCGCTGAGGCTGGTGCTCCTGGCTAGAGACAGGGCGGTCACCCAGCACCAAGGAGACCCACCAAGCGTTGGACCAACTGCTTCTCCCTTGCAGGATACAGGCAGCCCCTCATATCATGGATGGAAACAGGGCTTCTCCCATGGCCAGTGGTCTTGAGACTGGCACAGCAGAGCCCACCCCCTCCTTCAGGCAGGCTTCTAAGTGGGGGCACCACAGAGGTGCCCCCCTTGCTGCACCCAGGTTATTTCAAGTTCACACAGATACATGGTTTAAAACACCTTCATACTTGGAGTAAAATGTCCAGACCCCCCCCCCAATCCCACCACACTATGACTGGATCTACCTGGGCCAGGTGCCCTGGGAGGACTGGCTGGTGGGGCACAAATAAGTGAACAGAGCTAGGCCCCAGAGAGGGGCCTGGGGGGCAGTGTGGGGAGGCAACTTCAGCTGGAGGGGTGTGGGCACTGTTGAGCACCTGCCTGGCCCATACAGACCAGCCTCTCCCCAGGAGTGCTCTGGGCCTAGAGCAGGCTGTCCCTGGAGGGAAAGGCAACCTGGGCCCCTCCCTTCCTGTGTGGCCCTCCAGGCTCCCCTCAGTCCTGGTGTGTGGGGTGGATTACTGGCCTGGGCCTGACCTGCGCCTGCAGGCACCAGCCCAGGACAGTGGCTGGGTATTTGGGGACTAAGGTGCTTTCTCCCTGGTGCTACTAAGCAGTGAGCCAAGGGGCTCTTGGTGCCCACACTTGCCTGGGGAGACAGGTGAATGACATTGTCATTTTAACATCAAGTTCCAACTGAGCCTGTAGTCCGTCACCTCTGTGCTGTGGCCACATGAGCCACACAGGTCATTTTTGCTGAAACTTTGAGTCTCTTTCACCTGTGACAGACTGCAGGCACATACATGCCCAGCAGTCCCGGCCCCTTGTCCTGGAGCCATGCTGTGTCCTTAGCCTGGCACTCTCAGCTCCTCAGTCCCCTCCTCTTGGGAGCTGCCTGAGTCCCCCTGTCACCTCCTACCAGCTTGGGGAACGGGGGACCCACTTGGTCATGTGGGCCTGATCCTCCTGTTAGTCTCCCAAGCCCCTGGGTGCCACCTCTTTGCTGTCATCTCCATTGTGCCCAGCAGAGGGTGCTGTGAACCAGCAGTTAGCAATGGCTCTCTCACCTCCAGACTCTGCCAACAACTGGGAGTGGAGGGGGGATAGACCCTGGAAGGGAGTGCCAGGAGGGGCTCATCCCACTAGTGTGTGAGTAGCAGTCACCTTCTGGGCAGTTCACTGAGCTTCACTGTCCAGCATAGTAGCCACTAGCCACATGCAGTTGCTGGGCACTTGAAATTGAGGAACTCTGTTCTCCATTTCATTTAATTTTTTTCAATATTTTTAGTTGTAGATGGATACAATACCTTTATTTTATTTATTTATTTATTTTTTTATGAGTGGTGCTGAGGATTGACCCAGGGCCTCACACATGCTACGCTAGTGCTGTACCACTGAGCCACAACCCCAGCCCCGATTTCATTTTATTTAAAAGAAATCTAAGTGGCCACACGGGGCTAATAGCTGATGTCTTGGATGACCCAGCCCAGCCCCCAGGCCCTGTCCTTTGAGGCTGGTGGAGGAAACAGGCATCCCAGCCCCAGACCAGAAGAACCTAAACTCCCTGGGGGTGGAGCTGGGTGTTCAAAGCCCTCTTTGTGCTGAGCGCTGAGGCCATGCCAGTAATCCTAGCGACTGAGGCTGAGGCAGGAGGATCGAAAATTCAAGGTCAGCCTCAAGCAGCCCTAGCAAAGCCCCAAGAAACTTAACAAGACCCCGTCTCAAAGTAAAAACTAAAAAGGGCTGGGGGTGTGGCTGAGTGGTTAAGCACCCCTGGAATCAATCCCCATACAAAAACACAAGGCCTCCACTCAGTGGAGACTTGAGAGCCTGATACTCAGTGAGACTTGAGCGCCCCTGTCATCTGCTCACCCTCAAACTCTGCTTCCCTGGCGATGGGATGAACACTGTCATACTCCCACTCTGAAGCCTTTTACTTCCTTCCCCAGAACCCCTGCTGGGTTTCAAGAGCTCCCTGATACAGCCATTCCTGAAAGGGAACCTAACAATCACCTGAACTCCTAGCCTGGAGTTTGGGACCACAAGATCACAGCAGGGCTGGTCAGTACACTGCAAGCTGTGGGAACACAAGCTCCTCCTCTGGCCCTCCTGCCCTTTCAAGGCCAGGAGATACATCTGATTCAACAGACCCATGTCAGGGAGTGGCCACTATAGATACCTCA